TAAAATTTTAAAAAATGCCTGTTATTTTTCTATACATAGATGAATTACTTAATCCTAGTTTCTTTGGATTGCTACCCATGTAGGTGGGAAAATAAATTTTAGTGTCTATTCTGTTTTCCCACTAAGAGACAGTAACACATGAGGTAATAAGAGAACATTTGTGTTATGAGATCCTCGGAAGAAACATTGAAAATAAATCTAAGATCTTACTCTAGGATATGAATGATTCATATGCCTAAGCCATACATATATACCAAATATATTTCCATTTTTCTCCGGAAAATACCAAACTCTCATAGACACAACAGTGAATCATGTCAGCCTTTTCTTTTATTTATTTATTTATTTATTTATTTATTTATTTATTTATTTATTTATTGACTGGGACCACAATTTGACAGAGTCAAAAAATAAAGACTAAGAACAAAAGTCTATTTCTCTTCCCTTTTCCTCTCTTTTCAACCAAGGTTGACAGGTTGGTGATTGAAGGGAAATCTATGTAATCGATGTAAACTTGGAACACTGTCTCTGATAGTCGCCTGTGCTGGATTCTCTCCAGCTATGACACACTCAACAGTATGTCTGGAAGTTCCCACTCATAGACAGGGCGGGCTTATTTTCACCTGTTTCCACACCTGTATAACTTCCCATCTTCAACCATGGCACCTGAGCAGACACAAACGCCAATCACTGTGCTTGCTTCATGGCAGATTTATGGAGAGGATGTCAGGTTATTGTACTCTCTCCTCTCCTGCCTGAGGTAGGAAGCCAGAATGCTAACTTGCAATGCTTTGCTCCTTGGGCATGAGCTCTACTTGGCTCTACTTAAACAAGGAGGGAAGGGTCCGAATGGGGAGGTAAGTAGGTGGGAGTTCAGATCACTGCTCTGTGTTTCCTAGCAGTGATCCATTTGGTTCACAGAGCCTATGCTGTATCCCACAACACAAAACACGAATTCATGTTGGGAAGGAGAACCCTGTAGAACCATCCACATGTGGAGCAGGTGTTCATATGGCCTCAACGACAGGTGTCAAGCACAAGGCAGAACTCAGACTGGAGCCCAGATCAAGCCAACCCCAGAGTCTGTGTTCTTAGCCGTATCATCCTACACAGCCCTCCAATGCCCTTGTCCCAGAGGCCTCAGGGCTCCCCTGTGTTAGGGGCCTCGGATCTGTGACCCCTCACATGCTCTGTTTAGGCTCCTGGCAGAAATACCTGCTGCCTGACCCACATTCATTATCCAGAAGAGCTTGTCCGTCTCCAATTCCGGGTGTCGTTTCACCCTGAAAATGGGAGTGAATATGGGAGGTGATGCCTTTACTGCTCTGTGGGGTCTAGATAGACTCAAGACTCGAGGACTTGCCCTTCCTGTGCTCCAGCCTATTTGCTTTCAGACTCAGAGCATCCCGAGGGAAGAACCTGTGCCTTCTTCATGCTGGTTTTCCTGCTCCTAGGACTGGGCCAGGCTCATTGTGGGTGCTCAAATAATATTGGCTGGATAGGGAAAAGGACAGAGGGATGCATGGGTGGTGAAAGCTCTCTTAATTCTCATTGTCCCCAAGGAGGGACAGCTCTAATCAGGCTGGGAGAGTTTGTGGAGAGACAGAGAGCAAAAGAACAGGCCAAAAATAACACAGAGGGCCACATCATACTCCAAAGGAAGCCATGATCCTCCCACTGATGCCATCGCTTCACACCCCACTGCAGCCCGATTCTCTCCCCAGCACCCACTTCACACCTCATGGTAATTACCAGTCTCCCTGCACAACCCATCCCCACGTCACGTAAACCCCAGCCCTCCCTCCCCATAAACCCTGGCATTCCAGAGCCAACCCCAGGCTCCCACCCGCGCAACCACTGCCCACTCCACACCAGGCACCACTCCTCCCCTCCGCACACATTTCACACGAAGGGCGAGCCGTGGGGCTTCCCCTCCGAAGCACTTCCCCACCTCTGCCGCCCCCTCACACTCCCTGGGAAGTGTGACCTCTCACTGCACGGCTGCCCACCTCGCTCCCACGACAAGTCCAGTCCTCTCTCCACGAAACCAGTTACCCTCCACTTCGAGCACCGTCACCCTCACTACAGGGGCTCTGCACTGAAGAGTGAACCCCAGTCTTCTCTCTCACACCCCTCTCCTTCCAAACCACACCGATCCTGCTCACCCACAGCCCCTTCACACTCCACATGTTCCCGAGTCCTCCCTCCTCGAAACACGACACAGTCACCTCCACTCAACCCTCTCACAAACGCTGGACTCCTCCCAGGGAACCCCAAAGCTCACGCACCGTGATCCCTTCACACTCCACAGTAAAAGCCAGTCCACCCAGGCTCAACCCCTTCAGGCCCAAACTCTTACCTCCACCATCCCCTGACATCCTCAATAATCTCCCGTTTTCCCTCTCCACGATACCACACACTCTACAGGAGACCCCCAACCCTCCTCACCCCAACCTCTTCACACTCCAGAACAGACTGCAGCCCATCCCCCATTCATAACATGTGCTACTTCATGATTAGCATGCCTCCGCCACCATCCCCGGGCACAGCAGAGAAACCCAGTGCCCCATCCCTACAACCACTTCGCCCCGACAGTCGGTCCCTCTCAATCCTTTCTCCCCATGGATGTTTCACACTCCACCCAAGCTCACAACCTCACACCCCACCCTAAACACCAGTCCTTCCCCCACTGCAGTCGTGTTACTATCCACAATGAAGACTGACCCTTTCACCCCACAACTTCACATCCCACGGAACCACAGACAGCCCTATCACTTCATCCTCCTGCCAACCATGTCCCCCTTCCCAGGGAACTTTCCCCTCCCCCTCCCTCTCTCTGGGTCCCCCTCTCTCATCATTCATCCTGGGGGAAGCAACCTGCCTGTCATGGGTACACTTGGGCCACCTATGGATAAGGAGCCAAGGCCTCCTTCCAGCAGCCATGGGAGATAGCCACCCTCAGAACAGGTTCTCCAGCCCAGGCTGGCGTGGCTCAGTGGACTGAGCACCGCCTGAAAACCACTGGTTTATTTCCTGGTCGGGGCACAAGTCTGGGCTGCAGGCGGGGTCCCCTGTCAGGGGCATGCGAGAGGCAACCAATAGAGGTTTCTCTCTCACATCAATGTTTTTTTTTCAATGTTTGATTTTTTTTTTATTGTTATTCAACATACCTTTGTCTTGTTCCTGATATTAGTGGGAAAAGTTTTAGATTTTGCCAATTGAGTATGATGTTGGCTGTAGGTCTCCCATGTGCGGCCTTTATTATGTTGAGGAATGCTGCCTCTATTCCCACTTTGCTGAGTGTTTTTATCATAAATCAGTGCTGCACTTTATCAAATGCTTTTTCCACATCTATTGATAGGATCAGGTAATTTTTGCCCTTCCTTTTGTTTATGTGGTGTAATGCATTCATTGATTTGCGAATATTGTACCATCCTTGCATCCCTGGGATGAATCCCACTTGACCATGGTGTATGATCTTTTTAATGTTTTGCTGGATGCGGCTTGCCAATATTTTGTTGAGGACTTAAGCGTCTATATTCATCAGCCATATTGGCCTGTACTTTTCTCTCTTTGTTGTGTCTTTATCTGATTATAGGGTTGGGATGAGTCTGGCCTCATAAAAAGAGTTTGGGAGTTTTCCCCCTTCTTGGATTCTGAGAGTCTGAGAAGAGCAGTGCTTAGCTCTTCCTTAAATGTTTTGTAAAATCCTCCTGTGAAACTGTCCAATCCAGGGCTTTTGTGTGCCAGGAATTTTTTTTAATAAGCTTCAATTTCACCAGCTCCTGCACTCTGTTCAGGCTTTCTTCTTCTTCATTCAGTTTTGAGAGATTACATGTTTCTAGAAATTTGTCTATTTCACCCAGGTTTTCAAATTTCTTGGCATATAGTTAGTTGTTCATAGTAATTTCTTACAATCCTTTGCATTTATGTGCTTTCAGTTGTCATTTCTCCTCTTTCATTTCTGATTTTATTTTTGGGGGTCCTCTCCCTCTTTTCTTGTTGAGTCTGTTTAAGGGGTGTCCACTTTATGTTTTCAAAGAACCAGCTCTTGGGTTTATTGATCCTTTGCATTGTTCCTTTAGTCTCTGTGTCATTTAATTCTCCTCTGATTTTGATTATTTCCTTCCTTCTACTTGTTCTCGGCTTTGTTTGTTGTTGTTCCTTTAGTTCTTGTAGATGTAGGGTTAGGTCGTTTAGTTGAAATGTTTCTATCTTTTTTACATAGGCCTCTAGTGCTATGAACTTCCCTCTCAGAACTGCCTTCTCTGTGTCCCATAAGTTTGGACTGTTCTCTGTTCATTTTCATTGTTTCCAGAAACTTTTTGATTTATCTCTTGATCGCATTATTAATTCATTCATTGTTTAATAAAATGCCATTCAGTCTCCATGAGTTTGAGTGTTTTTAAGTTTTTTTTTCCTTGAGGTTGGTTTCTGGTTTCAAGCCCTTGTGATCCAAAAAACGTGCTTGATATGATTGCAATCTTCTTGAATTTGTTAAGGCTTGCTTTGTGTCCTATCATGTGGTCTATCCTCGAAAATATTCCATGTGCATTTGAAAAGAATGTGTATTTGCTTCTCTGGAGTGAAAAGATCTTTATATAGCAGTTCAATCCATTTGATCTAATACGTCATTCAGTTCCACAATCTTCTTGTTGATGTTTTGTTTGGAAGATCTGTCCATTCTTGACAGTGGGGGTGTTCAAACCACCTACTATAAATGTGCTGCTGTCTATGTCTTTCTTGAAGTCCTCTGAGATTTTTCTTCTATATTTGGGTGCTCCTGTGTTGGGTACATGTATCACATTGATGCTTCTCTCCCTCTTTCTCTCCCTTATATCCCCGCTCTCTAAAAATAAATAAATCTTTAAAACAAAACAAAACAAAACAGAAACAGTTTCTCCAGTTGCAGGGCAACCTTGGGTCCACTGGGGCCTCTGCCTTGGTCAGATGGCCTTCACGGGGGGAACCCATGCTCAGTGAAAGGAGTCAGACAGACAGACACCAAGCTGGACAGCATTTATGTGTGGAGCCTGAAACTCCCCGCACAACCACACATGCAGAGAACGGCCTGGTGGCGTCTGCAGCAGAAGACAGCACCAGGGCCAATGGCAGCCTCCATGGGCTGACCCAGTGGACTGGCCCCTGGCCTGCCCACCAGGGGGCTCAGGCCTCAGCCAGCCGCTGCAGCACACACAGGGCCCCATACAGGGCAGACAGGGGCTGCTTGGCTCCCAGGTCCCAGGTTGACCTGGGGCTCTGCAGCTCCATCTTCAGGCCACATTCTTCCAGCAGACCATAGGTTATGGCCAAACCCTCCCCCTGCAGGGGGGCGAGGAGCTCGGGTTTGAGGGTGAAGGGGATGCTCCAAGGGTATTTGAAGTTGGGCTCCAGGATGCTCCTCACCTTAAAGAAACAGGATCAGCTGTTACAGGTCCCCCTTGAGGTCAGGAAAGGAAAACCTTCAGTCCCAGGAGCCAGGGGTCATGCAGGACAACTACAAGGGCAGGAGCTCTGGAGTCATGTCCTGGCCCTGTCTTGTGATCGGTGTGACCAAGGACATGTTATTGCAACTCCTTGAGCCCCAGTTCCTCAGCTGCTAGATAGTGACGCTAACATCTGCCCTGCAGAATGGTGGTGTTTGGGATAGCATATGTGAGTGCTTCTGTGTGCCATGTGTGTATGGGTATGCATGTGTCATGCATGCACATGTCCCTGTATAACATACATGGAGACAGAGAGCATGCAATGTGCAAATGGTAACCATGTGCATAAAGCAGGGTGTAACCCAGACACCCTGAGCTCCTCAGCCCTGTATCCTATACAGCTACTTGAGAACTGGTGGGGCCTCTGCAGGGGTTGTCATGGAAACAGAGACCTTGCCCAGGCAGACTCATGACCACAGGGCCTGCTCCCGGAGGGAGATGCAGCCCAGGTTTCCTGGTGGCCACACTGGGACTTGGTCCCCTTCCTAGCAGAAACCTGATTTATCTCCCTCCTCAGAATCATTCTTATCTCCGGTTCCCTCACCCTCTTCCCAGGACGCTGGCCCCTGGGGATTTCTCACCAGATCCCGCTGCTGGGAGAGGATCTTCTTGTCCATGGATTGGGCCAGCAGACAGTGCTGGATGTCACTCAGCGCTGCAGACAGGGGACATTTGGGGAAAGACAGTCAGATATTCCTTTCCCCCTAGTGAGGCAATCTCTAAGGCAGAGGAATAAGACTCCTTAGACTTGGAGGCCAAGTTCCCTGCCCTGGGAAGGCCTCCTTCGGCTCTTGGGATGGTCTCCAGGGTGCTCCCTGACATGGGCAAGGGGGGGATTCTGTGGCTGCAGCCTGGGACCATCCACCCTCAGTGATACATGGGATGAACCTGGGCTGCTCTTTCTAGCTCTTTCTGTGTCATGTGGCAAGTTTCTCCCACTAGGCCCTGCTGACCTTGGAGAGAAGTGTGAGGTGGGGGTGAAAAATCATAACATTTCAAGGGTTTTGAAGAAATGGCAGCCCTTCTGGGGTCTCTGGGACACCAACCTTGTGACCCCCCGCAATGTCCTTCCAAATCACTCTTACCCATGATGGCTTCAAGCAGGTAAAGGATGAGGTGCTGTGAGCCATTATATGCATAGGTGGAGTCCTTTTGCAGTTCATTTAGGATGGTGCCACGAGGGCCATCCAAATGACCCTGCAGGGGTTCCTGTGCAAACTATAGGAGACAGGAATTATTAATGAGGATGACAATACCATGTAATTTTGCCTACAAATGCTGTGTTTATAAGTGAGTAATGAAGGAGCAGGGTGAGGGCTCCATACAGCCCCTGGGGACACTGAGCACCGTCACTCAGTGTGGACTGCACTCCCTGGCCCTGCTCCCTGGGGACAGAGCCGTGGTCCCCAGTCTCAGACATCCCCTAAGCCCCCTGAGATGACCCCCATTCTTGTTTCCCCATATACCTCAGCAGTCGGATCTCTGAAACATCCCCCATTTACAAGTCTGATCAGCTTCGATAGCAGTGGGACCCCTCACCGTGTCCATGAGGTCCTGAAGGGGCTCTCGGTCCCCCAGCATGTCCAGGATGTTGGAGAACACAGCGTCCTTGAAGTCCTTTGAAAACTGGTCCACTCTGCTTACTTCCAGGGAAACCTCCTGTTGTAGGCGCTTGAAATCTGTCCTCCGACAAGAAAACGAAGACAACCCTTAGATGAGAACAGTCCTTTCCCATCACCATAAGCAAAATTCTTCTCCCCTTTAAGCAGCTGGCCCCCAGCATCTCTGAGGGTGGCTTGTTTGAGCTCCGTGATGGAGCTGCCATAACAAGCCAGAGGGATGGAAAATCTCAGCTGAAATGAGGTGGGGGGTTATGCAGGGAGGGGAGAAGAGGGTTCTGGAAAGGGGTCAGGGGAAGAGGAAGAAACAGAGCAGGCTCTGAAATACCTAGCAGTGTGAATTTATGGATATAAAGTGCTTGGTACTGCATGCAATTGTGCTGTACCTCTAGGTCTATAAATAATTAACCAAGGGGTGGATGTCGGGGGTTTTCTGCCTCTGCTAGGACACCTGAGGCTGCCTCCAGGTGCGCTTCTGGGAGTTAGAAGTCACTGGAGTGAAAGCGTCAGGGAGGCAGGATTCCTGTTTGGTTTACTGCCCAAGCCCCAGGGCTCAGAATAACGACACCCAAGAAGTCCTCCATAAACGTTTCCTGCAAGAAGAAGGAAGGAAGGAAGGAAGGAAGGAAGGAAGGAAGGAAGGAAGGAAGGAAGGAAGGAAGGAAGGAAGGAAGGAAGGAAGGAAGGAAGGAGTTAATTAGTGGGGCTGACCAAAGTGTAAGTTAAGAAGTAAAGCTCAGTTTTCTGAGTTGCTTGGAAACCTCCGATTTGGGTTCTGAGCTTTGCAGTTTCCTACCCAGCAGACCTTATATTCCCTCTTAGTAAACACTCACCTAGCAAGGGAGGCTCCTGTATTCTTTCTAGAAAAGCAAAAGCAAGCGGTCATCTCCCTTCCTCATCCCCCAAGTGTGCTTTAGATACACTTCCGAGGGATCTTTCCTCCACTGCCCCCTCCCTCTTGCTTAACCTCTCCCTGCTCCACCCCTTTGCCCTCCCCACCATCCCTGACCCTCCCCACCCCACAGAAACCACAGCCAGGCTCCAGGGCCATGGTGGAAAAGGCAGGGACTCATGGTCCTGCTCCCCTGAGGAGTACAAATAGGACCCTCCCCAACCCCAGCAAACACACACTCACGTATTGGTTTGATGGGACATACTCTGCTGCCTAGAAGAGAAATTAAATTCCCCACCCAAGAATTAGTTCCTGCCAACTCTCCCTTTCTCTTTCTACCACCTACTCCCCAGCCTCCTTTTCCCATCCTCCCTGCCCTCTCCCTGGGACAGTCCGAGCCAGGTGGCCCAGGTGAGGAAGGCAAAGGCAATCGTGTGGAGTTTCAGTTGGGCAAAATGGGGCCTCATGGAGGGACCACATTATACTTTCCTTGTCCTAAAGTCACGCTTTTTCCATAACACTCGGATTGAAAGTATATTTCTAGAAAGAGAAAAATAAGTGATCACTCACAACAGCTGGGTCTCCATTTCCCCCAACACATACACTCACTCACAAACACTCAACCCAGGTCCTCAGAGGATATAGGTGGCCGTTCCTGTCACCAGATTCCTGTGTCTAAGTGACAGCAGGTATAGGACGACATGGTAGAGGAGCCTGGCTGGGGAAAGTTTGCCTGTGGGCGTGTCAGGGCTGAGCCCCAGCAGGGTTTTTATAGGGTCCAAAGGGGGTCACAGGCTCAGCGGGGCCTGAGGTCTAAGCAGAGAGCCTGACAAACAACGCACCTGGAAAGATCTCCTCTTCATCCTCTGCAGAGTGAAGAATGTCTGGGTGGAAAGAAGCCAGGTCAGCAGAGCGGGGGTTTCCCTGCTGGAGTCTCTCACATCCCCACCCCTGTGGCCCCCACACTTCCAACTCCAGGCCAGGGGTGGCAGCTTTTCTCAGCGTGATCTGGGGACCCCTTGCATCATAATCACCTGGGATGCTTATGGAAACTCAGGGGCCCTGCCCTCACTCTGTTATCTTCAGAATCCGTCCCTCTAAAGGGGAAGCTACAACCTGCCTTGTCAATAAGCACCTGGGTGGGTGGTGGGTGTCAGCTCTGGTCTCCCATTCCACCGGGAACAGAAACCGACTTCCTTCCTGCTGCCCTTCATCTTACTCTCCCGAAGGGCCCCCCTCACAAGTCTACTCCCCCAGTCAGTCCTGCTTCCTGGCTGATTTCACAGAGAAACATTCAAAGTTCTGAAACCTGCCCAACAATCAGGTTGATGTGCCTGACAGGGAGCAGGAGCCCATGAAGGAAGAAGGAGCAGAAACAGTCCCGTTAAAGGACACCCCGTAGATCACGGTGGGGCAGCCTCCAGGGAGAGAGGAGCTCCAAGGAGGGGTGATGGAGTGTGTGCTCCCTGGTAACAGCGTGGAGTGAGTTCCCCCGAGGGCAGGCTGCAGCGGGTAGAGGGGTGGACGCCAGGGAGGGAGGGGGCAGAGTGTGGAAGATTCTGTAGGGACGTTGGCTGTGAGGACACACTTGGGTGAGGAGGCTTCTGAGATGGCAGGGACCCATCTTGCCGCCAGGTCATGGGAAGGTCCAGGTGAATGGAGAGAGGGGAGATACATTTGGGTCGCCACTCTCTCAGACATTGATCTCTACCAGCCCTGGAGAGAAGGTCTCACTTTCATTCAGAGGTAAGATGGGAGACAGAGGAATTGTGATTTCCTCCAAAGCTACACAGCAAGCGCCATGGAAAATTATTGAACAGTGCTGCACATTATTTTCCTCTCCGATTTGTCATGAGGATGAAATTACTTCACGGAAGTGCAACGCTTACTGCACTGAGCCCTTAAGCAGTAATTGTAGAAACAGGCGAGTGCCACGCGCCCCCTAGTGGGCAGGACATGGCTTGCAGGCACTGCTGTGAGGTCGGCCTTCGGGTCCCACTCCATTTACGTAACACTTGTCAACACTCACACAGCATGGATTTGAAGATGGAGCTGAGCCACTCCAAAATTTGGAGACTTTTCCCTCATTCTGTCTGTGACCACTGACAGGAGGTCAGTGCCAGCAGGACCCTCTTTTAGCCGAATGTTATACTGAGGCTTCTACAGGGAACTGTGTGTGTGTGTGTGTGTGTGTGTGTGTGTGTGTGTGAGAGAGAGAGAGAGACAGAGAGAGAGAGAGACAGAGAGAGAGAGAGAGAGAGAGAGACATGGAACGTGTTTGTTGTGTGTGGTGAGGGCACCCCTTGACCTCCGAGGAGCTGGACCCCAGCTGTATCAGGCTGACCTCCAGCTGGGACTCAGCATTAGAGCAGGGAGGGGCCAAGGACCCTGAGCTGGTTGTGGTTGTAGCACCCTGACTCCTCTCTGGTTTGTAGGTACTTCATGAAAGTTTTTCTCCTGCATGGAGTCAGAACCCCAAGTGTGTGCATTGGGGAACTGTGCATTTTGAGGCTCCTGAAGAGGGAGAAATGTTGATACAACTCTTCATTACACGGTCAGGGCACTACATCCACAGATTTGTTCCTGATTGGGCCACTCTCTCTGGGCTTCCCTGTGGGGGCAGAGGTAACCTGGGAGGGCTCTGTGGCTCCCCCAGGTGAGCTGCTGAGAGTGGTGGGACCTTCAGTGGAGGTGGTTGGGGTTAGAATCACGCTCTTCCCAGTGCCAAACACACCCTGGCGCTGGGCACCCCGTTACACCCTCTCCACGTAGGATACTGTCTCTCTACCTGCCCAGAGCAACATTTCAGTGGGGCCCTGCTTGCAGGAGCTGTGCGTGGCGAGAATATGTGTGCCCCGGACAGCTGAGGGATGCTGCTGCTCTCTCTGAACAGGCGGGGAAGCAACGGTTGCCTGACGATGGTTTGTCCCTCCTCATTTCTCTCCCCAGGAGAAGCAGACTCCCACTCCCCTCCTGCCTCCCTCAGCCCCTGCTTACCCCAGCTGTTCTTCCTGAACACCAGCTGCTTCCTCTTATAGGCCATCACCAAGCCCTTTGGCACAGTATGCTTCTTCTTGCTCACTTTCAGAGCCCCGCCCTCTGCTTTACCCTGTGGACAGAAACCAGGTATAATAACACCATCAAACATGCATTTGATCTTAAAAGTCAATACATCGAGAAAGCTCATGAGAAAAGGAATGAGCAGCCCCTGTTCTCACCCTCCCTACTCCTGATTTCCAGTGCCTGCTCTTTCTTCCTTGCTTCATTCCATACTTACCTTGAGATCCCTCAGTTTCATGTTGACACTGAAATGAATTCATTGATTTCTGATTCAGTACCTCTAGTCATTTCCTCTTTTTCATGATGAGGGTTCTGTTTTCTTACTCTTTGTAAGAGCTGAAGCAATTGATAAAAGGGAAACACCACCTCCAGCCTCTCGTGGCCTTCCATGCAGGGCAAGGGAGATAGCCAGCTCTTGCTCACTCTAACGGTCCTGTCATGTCTAAGCAGGAGAGACTACTGAAAAGCTCTTGTGAGTTCACAGCCCAGAGCACAGGCTCACTAAAAATAAACCTAGGACCTATTGATGGGACTACAGAATTTTCCCTCCTCACATATCACAATATCAGTAAAGGCTGATTAACCAGAGTTCCTTTCATCACGTGTATCATATCCAACATTCAACAAGAAAATTACAAGGCATATTCAAAGGCAACAAACAACTGTTTGAAGAGACAGAGCAGGCTGAGAATCAGACTCATTTATAGTATTGATTTTGGAATTATGAGACAGGGAATTTTAAACCACTGTGATTAATTTGCTAAAAGATCCAATGGAAAATATAGACAAAATGCAAGTGCAGATGAGTAGGTAAGCAGAGAGATGGAATCCTAAGGAAAAAAATAAAAAATAAATGCTAGAGAGATAAAAAATACTGGAACAGTAATAAAGAATGTCTTTGATTGGCTCATTAGTAGACTGGACACAAGTGAGAGAAAAACTTCTGCACTCGAAGATATATTGATAGGAATCTCAAAACAAAAAAGCAAAGAGAAAAATTACTAGAAAAATGGAGCATAATATCCAAGAACTGTGGGATAACTACAAAAGTTGTAACATATGTGTAATGAAAATGTTAGGACAAGAAAGAGAGAACAGAACAGAAAAAATATCTGAAGCAATAATAACTGAGGATTTCACCAAATTAATGTCAGTCACCAAACCACAAATCCAGGAAGTTCAGAGAATTCCAAGCAAGATAAATAAAAATAAAAATAAAAATAAAAATAAAAATGAATTAAAAAATCTTATACCTATAAATTCAAACTGCAGAAAATCACAAGTAAAGAAAACATTAAAAGTCAGAGGATATTGAAAGAAGTCAGATACTTCTTGTCTGCTGTTGTTTTCTTTTTTTTCTTGTTTGCTTTATGAATCTGCACCTTGTTCAACAGGGACATGACAATAAGTTATTTGAGGACACAAGCAAGACTCCACATCTTGCTATAAAACCAACATGGATTTTAGTTATACAAAAAAGAATAAACTTATTTGAATTTTGCAAACTTTTTTATTATTATGTAGCTCTTCTATTTGATTTCTATTGTGGTAAAAAAAACAAACAAACAAAAAAACATAATATCTTCCCCATTTTTAAGTGGACAGTACAGTATGGTGTTTTCATGTTTATTTGTCTTGAATATTTTCTGACCTCCCTTGTGGTATCTTCTTTGACGCACTGGGGGTTCGAGAGTGTATATCTTAATGCCCATATATTTGTCAATATGCTCTGTTTCCTCCTGTTATCAATCTCTAGTTTCACTCCATTGTGGCCAGAAAGGATACCTGGTGTAACGTCAGTCTTCTTAACCTGGTAAGACTGATAGGGAGGCCTCACATGTGATTGATGCTGCAGAATGTTCTGTGTGTACTCAGGTAGAATGTACGTGATACTCTGCTGCGTGTTCTTATGTGTCTGTTACAGAAAATGCTTCAATTGGTCTGTATGATGCTCTGCAGGTCCTCCGTTTCCTTGTGGATCTTTTGTCTGATCGACCAAAACAAAGTGGCTGCAGCCACGAACCAGGAGTGATGTGCGAACTGTTTAACGACATCACAGCCCATGGCCAACCTTTAGAGCTGTGCTGGCTCTGAACAGGTGTTACAAGTCAGTTTTTTTCCTTGAGTTTCTAAGTCTTCTAAGTGAAGAACAACTACACATTAAATATGTAATATGTAAAAGCACATTATAACACACACAAACTATATGATGAATGAACTTGTTCATATAATTAAAAGTACTACCATTGATTATTGAGACTGAGTCAGTTATACAAATCCCATGAAGGTATTTAAGTCTCACCCCTTCTACCAGTCCTTCTCAGGACGTCATGGCTTTTAGGGAGGTTTGTTATTAGCATAAAACTTGACATGTGGATAGTGCAGCAGACACCCCTTTAGGTGTGCCATAATCCATCACTTACCCAAAGCAAATGTAATGCCACATAATTAAACCTACATCTGATTTTGTTGATGGGTGAACCCATCTCATACCTTGACAAAAGTATTCAGAATGAAGGACATTTTTCCCAAGAAATTCCCAGTGCTGTGATCCTCCATCACACAACTGTCACGCAGTTCTACAACGTCAGTCACAACATACAGATTTGTTGCTGTTCTCCAGCATTGCTTCAGAAATGAGGGCTCTGGGTCCATCACTTTCCTGGGGCGGATGGAGGAGAAGAGGGTCAGAGTGGGAAGAGATGCCTTCCTGGGTTACCCTGGCCTACCGCCCTCCTCAAGACCTGGAAGGGGTACAGGGACTTTGGACTCTGATAGGTGTTCCCTCCATGAGTAGGAAGATACTGGCAAATGGGTTAAGTTACTAAGGAAACAAAACATCTTCTTTGCTATGCAGGGTGGATGTGCCACCACTTCCTGATGGAGCTGTGGGAAGGAGAAAGGCATCTGCTCTTCCAAGATGTGCCCTGTTAGGGAGTAATTTACACATGTCCAGTGTACCAGGGCCTCTCACCTGAGGAGACTGGAAGTAGACAGGTGCACATGGCTGACCAGAGCCCTACTGTCAAAGATGGGTACCCACAGTCACCACCGTCCAGAAGCACAATCAACGTGGGAGGGGGAGCAAACTGATAAATATGATGAAGCACAAAAGATTCTGGATGATTAATCATGACCAGCACGTGGGCGTGTTTATAGATGAACTGTCCTTAGTGAGTGGCTGGTAGGACGGACTTGAAGACATAGGTGTGGGCAGGGGACAGACAGGTTTGAAGTCCTGAACACAGATTTCATCTCCATTGCAGCTCTGAGACTCAGCTCTGGTTCTTCTTAAGGCCCCACCAGGGTAGGCCCCCTGGATGACAGCCGAGAGCAACTTGAGGGACCCTTAAATTGCTTCTCAGTGGAGGAGGTCATGAGCCCCCAGTGTGGATTTTCCCACTGTCCTGTGAGGGGAATTCAGGCCCCTTTCGGGGGTATCCAAAACCCTTACTGTGTCTCTAAGAGGTTGTGTCATCTCACACATTTACTTACCTCCAAACCTATTTTTATCACCTTCATCCTGGTTGGCTAAGCCCCCACCTCACTGACTTCCTGCTGCTCCTGAAAATGTCAAGCTCTGTCCTGTCCTGTCCTGTCCTGTCCCGGGGCTTCAAACCCTCATCTGGACCACTTTCCTCCTGCTCTTTGCTTCTTTCATTCTTCAGGTCTGAGTTCAACTGTTAGTTCCACAGAGAGACCTATACAGACTCCCTTCCACCAGCCCTTTTCTCACAAAATCCTATGAACCTTAGAGCACCCATCACAATCTATAACTACCTCTAAATGAAACACATTATGTGTCCCACATACATTTATTAAAAGTATCTAATTGCCTTCCTTTCCACATTTCAAGTTTTGTCATCAGGCTTATTTCTTTTTCTTGCTGCTAGATAATAAAATGTATCCCTGAGATTGGAGCCTCTTTAACTGCTGAACACAATCCATCACCTCTGATGAGACACAGTAGGGGTTTGGATAGCCCCCAAAGGGGTCTGAATTCCCCCCACAGGGCAACAGGAAAAGCCACACTGGAGGCTCATGACCTCCTCCATTGAAAAACAAACTAAGCAAACAAGCAGAACAGGAACAGAATCATAGCTATGGAGATCATTTGTAGAGTTATCAGTTGGGAGCAGGAAAGGAGAGAATGGGCAGAAAGTTGCAGGGATTAAGAAGTACAAATTAGAACATACAAAATAGACAGGAATGTTAAGAACAGTATAGGAAACGGTGTAGTCAAAGAACTTATATGCATGAGCCATGGACATGAACTAAGGGAGGGGATTGCTGGAGAGAAGTGAGGGTACCAGGTGAAGGGGAGCAAATGGGTGGAAACTGAGACAACTGTAATAGAAAAATGAACAAAATAGCCCTGACTGGTGTGGCTTAATGGATTGAGTGTCAGCCTGTGAACCAAAGAGTCACTGGTTTGATTCCTAGCCAGGGAACATGCCTGGGTTGCAGGCCACGTCCCCAGTAGGGGGAGCACGAAAGGCAACTACACACTGATGTTTCTCTCCCTCTCTTTCTCCCTCCCTTCCTCTCTCTAAAATAAATAAATAAAATCTTTCTTAAAAAGAAAAGAAAAATGAATAAAATATATTTTAAAATTTAAAAGTTTTAAAGAGTCTTACAAAACACCAGAAATATAGAAATTGTGCCATGCCCTGTCAAAGTAACTTTTATTTTCTAAATAGCCTGTGACTTTTAACTACTTGCTTACTTCAGTAATTTTTCACATTGATACAAAGGCGATTTAAATTGAAATCTCTAAGAAGCATAAAGTTGGAACTTCTGGCCAAGATGGAAATATAGGTACATACATTTTGCCTCCTCAAACATCCAAAAGAAGGACAACAACAAATTTAAAAAACAAAAAAATAACCACAAGTGCCAGGAAATCAAACTATATGGAAGTCTGATGACCAAGGAGTTAAAGAAGAAACACTCATTTAGACTGGTAGGAGGGGGTGGAGATGGGCAGATGGGCAGAGAGGATGCATGGCAAGGCAGCTGCTGCAGGACTGGGTGGGGGGAGGCGGCGACTGGCAGAGCAGGCGGTCCCACATTTGCGTGTGGATAGACCAGGAGGAACAACTGGGGAGCAAGACAGTCTGCCCAACTCAGGGTTCCAGCATGGGGAAATAAAGCCTCAAAATTTCTGAGTGTAAAAAAACCTGTGGGGCGGGGGGGGACTTCCAGCCAAGATGGAGTCATACATAGACACATTGTGCCTCCTTACACAACCAAAATAAAGTCAGCAACAATTTAGAAACAAGATAACAACCAGACCTGACAGAAAATTGAACTGTATGAAGTTGGACAACCAAGGAGTTAAAATACACATGAATACAAATTCATCCCATACCGGTAGGAAGGGCAGAGTTGGGCAGAGAGGGGTAGTGGCACAAAAAGTGGTGGCACTGGGTATGTAAGGCATCCTGAGCGCAAGACCACAGCAGGCGGACCCTGGGTGCAAAGGCAGCTGGCAGACCCAGCGAGGCAGCGACTATGAAGCAAGGCACTGTGTGCACAGTGCCTGGCTGTCCGGGCAGTCCCACATCTGTGTGCAGGTAAAACAGGTGAAATTGGGCAGTGAGACAGACCACCCAACCCAGGGCCCCAGCGCCGGGAAATAGAGCCTCAGGACACTCATTGAAAACACCTCTGGGGGTTGAGGCACAGGAAAAGACTCCCAGCCTCACAGGAGGGTTCATTGGAGAGACCCACAGGGTCCTAAAATGTGCACAAGCCCACCCACACAGGAATCAGCACCAGAAGGGTCAAGTTAGCTTGGGGGAAGTGGCGAAAGGGACTGAAATCTGACAAAGAGAGGAGCAAGCGCCATTGTTCCCTCTCGGGCCCCCACCCCCACATACACTGTCACAACCCAGCCACTGGGGTGCCCTGCTCTGGTGAACACCTAAGGCCCTGCCCCTCACTAAGTAACAGGCTAGACAAAACAAAACAAAAAAAGGCCCGAATGGAAGAACAAATCAAAGCTCCACAGCAAATACAACTAAGCAACTGAGAGATCGCCAACCTATCAGATGCACAGTTCAAAGCACTGGTGATCAGGATGCTCACAGAACTGGTTGATTTGGGTTGCAAATTAGATGAGAAAATGAAGACTACAATAAATGAAATGAACAAAAATGCACAGTGAACCAATAGTGAGGGAATGAAAGCTGGGTCTCACATCAATGGAGTGGACCAGAAGGAAGAAAAAAATATGCAATCAGAAAAGAATGAAGAAATAAGAATTCAAAAAAAATGAGAGGCTTAGGAACCTCCAAGACATCTTTAAATGTTCCAACATCTGAATTATAGAGGTACCAGAAGGAGAAGAGGAAGAGCAACAAGTGGAAAACTTATTTGAGCAAATAATAAAGGAGAACTTCCCCATTCTGGCAAAGGAAATAGACTTCCAGGAAGTCCAGAGAGCTCACAGAGTCCCAAAGAAGTTGGACCCAAGGAGAAACACACCAAAGCACATCATAATTACATTAGCCAAGGTAAAAAATGAAGGAGAGAATCCTAGAAGCAGCAAGAGATAAGCAGACTGTAACCTACAAAGGAGTTCCAATCAGACTGTCAGCTGATTTCTCAAAAGAGACCTTCCGGGCAAGAAGGGGCTGGAAGAAGTATTCCAAGTCATGAAAGGCAAGGACCTACATCCAAGATTGCTCTGTCCAGCAAAGCTTTCATTTAGAATGGAAGGACAGATAAAGTGCTTCTCAGACAAGGTCAAGTTAAAGGAGTTCATCATCACCAAGCCCTTGTTTTATGAAATGTTAAAGGGACTTATCTAAGAAAAAGAAGGTAAAAAGCATGTATAGTAAAATGACAGCAAACTCACAATTATTAAAACCACACCTAAAACAAAAACAAAAACAAAGCAATCAACTAGAACAACAGGAACAAAATCACAGAAATGGAGATCACGTGGAGGGTTATCAGTGGGGAAAAGAAGAGGGGAGGATAGGGGAAAACGGTACAGGGCATAAGAAGAATAAATGTAGGTACACAATAGACAGGGGGAGGTTAAGAACAGTATAGGAAATGGAGAAGCCAAAGAACTTACATGTATGACCCATGGACATGAACTAAGGGGACGGGGGGTTGCTGGAGGCAAAGGGAGTGTGGGGAAGGAGAGCAAAGGAGGAAAAATGGGGACAATTGTAATATTATAATCAATAAAATATATTTAAAAATAAAATTTTAAAAATGCAGCTAAAAAATAAAAGGCATAAAGTCTTAAATTCCTTATTAAGCTCTAAAAGATTATGGAAGGTTGATCTTTTCCCCCGATACCAAGTTCAATCACACCCTAGGACAGTGAGGCATATGGACTCTATTTAACAAAGAGTCAGAGGCTTTGTCTCACTTAAATTAATACTTTGATAACTCATATTTTAATGCTTATTTTATCACTCACTGCTTGTCCCTCTGCCTCCCTAATTGTATTTCATTTTAGGACAGGCATTTTTTATCTGTCTTGTCTTTAGTCTATTCTCACCACAAAATAACACAGTGATGGACAATTGCAGCTTTAAAAAATACTGATCAGAGAACTGACACCCGTTAGTCAAGTGAGTGAATGTCCGCACACCCAAGAAGAGCAGCAGAGCCTGGGATGTCAGTTTCTTCATGCCGAGCCTCAGGGATAAAATCTATTGACTCTTCCAGAGGAGGGCACCGTTTGGGGCTGTTGACCAGACCCTCCCCCTCCCGTGGCCTCACCTCTTCTGAAGTTCTGTCCAGGTTTCATATGGGGGTGCTAACAATCTTATAATCCAGGGAGGATCCTTGGCACCCTGTAGTCTCCTCCCAGACACTTGCTTCTGCCCCAGCATTCACACTCCCACCCATGTGCTGCTTCCATTGAATACCATAACTGAAGAGGGCTGACACTTCCACAGCAGCATCTGGAAACAGACAAGGAGGCCTGAGGGTTAGCCAGCAGTACACTCTGGAACAGCTGGGAAACGGAATGGAAATGGAATGACTGAGTCCTAGCCTACCCCAACTCGCCTACCCAATTAAATCTCTCAACTGAGAAGCTAACTCATCAATAAAGAATATGTTGAGTTTAAATTACTCCTGAGGACAAACGTTTGCATGCACTCAGGGGCTGGATAACAGGAATGATGTCCTAACCCGAAGGAATGATGGCATCCCTTGCACCCGGGGCCAGGAGACCCACGGCATCATCTTTCCCAGCACAGCATCAGCCCCAGGAGGCAGCTCACAAAACAGAACATGTTTGGGATTTGGATCTACACAGGCTTGGGTTCGAGTCCCAGTTCTACCAGTTACAAGCTCTATAACCTGGAACAGATTATTCTGTAAGCTTTCATTTACTGCTGTGTAAAATGGGGATCATGTTCCAGACTCAAGAGTCTGCTCTCAGTAGTAAATGAATCTGGGTCATAATTAGAAAGTTCTCAGATACTCTTAGTTCCTTACTCCTTGCTCATAGGTGAGGCCGATCCGGTGTGGATGTCTCAGTACACCTTGCGTGCTGCACCCTTTTTTCTGTACCCTTGTTTCACAGTCCTCCCCTCCTAGGCCCCTGGCTGACAATACCTGGGACCACGCTATTTGGTTCGAGGATGTCCATGAGGGAGATGTCAACTGGAACCTCAGGGAGATGCCAAAACATTGAGCGAGCCTTCTTCCTCCGTATTAGAGAAAACCGACGTATTTTGATGGCATTCAGGACGTCTTTGACGGGCCTGAGTTCTTTGTCTCCAATCTCTTTGACCAGTTTCCTGGCAGTTTTCTCAAACATGGAGGGCATGTTGCTAGGAGCAGCATGGGATAGAAGGAAGGTAGAAAGATCAGGTGGGTCTCACAGATGAATTAAATGAGTCTCCAGGTGTCATGTAGAGGGAGTTGACAGTGACTTGACTATTTCATAGACCTTTGTCACATCTACACAGTCACGTAGCATGCGTGTGCAAGGGGCCCCCATGCAGCCCGAACAGGCCCTGGGTCTTCCCTGGTCAAGTCTCCAGCAGGACGATCTTCAGTGACCAGAGATGAGACACCGAGCCAGGAGTCCCTGCCAGGTCAGGGACCAACGAGCCCTTGCTTAGTGTACTGTAAGTGACAAAGGGGAGATAAATTTCCCTCCAAAATTAAATGCACCCACTTTGCTAGGCCACTACAGTCCAGAACAAGCCAGCCAAATTGTGTGAATATTAGTCACCCCACCAAGGATTGAATTTTATGTTTGTGTGAATTTCCTATTTTCAGTCCTGCACAGCCCATGCTTTTTAAGATTTGATATAATCTTATTGTGACTGAAATAGAGCAAGAGTAGCCTTCACAAAGATGGGCATAAGATGGTTAAATAAATAGCCCATGATGCCTGGTATGGCTCAGTGGACCGAGCACTGGCCTATTAACCAAAGGGTCCTTGGTTCGATTCCCCGTCAGGGCATATGCATGGATTGTGGGCCAGGTCCCCAGTTGTGGGCACATGAGAGGCAACTGCACATTGATGTTTCTATTTCTCTTTCTCCCTCCCTTCCCCTCTGTCTAAAAATAAATAAATAAAATCTTCAAAATAAGTAAACAAATAGCCAGAAGCCTGCATTGCTGTGCCAAGTGGACCGTGACTCAGCAAACATTATGAACTGCCTCATTTCTCCTAAGCATCAGGAGCCTGGTGGAGATAGTCATCCCAACCCGGATGGCACTCCCATTCCGCTTTTAAACACTTTCAGTGTCAGGCAGATGGCAGAACTGGACTTTTCAGCCCTCAGCCCTTCACAGAAACACCGGTTTTGACAACCACCCATAGCCAAGGGCACCTCTGCAGGAGCCCGGAGTCCAGCGGGAGGTCCCGGCACCCCCTCGGAGCACATCCCAGAGGGACGCACTGAAGAGGGGAAGCAGAGCTGTGTCCTTTCCTCATCACCCCTCCTCCGAGGCAGCACAGTGCAGGCCAAGGCTAACCCCTTGGCCCATGACGTCTCCACGGGGGAAAGTGAGAGCCCAGTGAGCACCCGGCTCCCCCAGCTGTGCAGGAAACATCAAAGAGGCCTGCACCTCCTCCGTCCCTCCCAAACACGGAGGCAGGTTGGCATGGCTGAAGATGCTGAGGACGGGTAGGCAGATATCCATCGATAGATGTGCAGAGAAGGAAGATGTGGTATGTGTGTATACAATAGACCATTACTCAGCCACAAAAGAATAAAATCTTGCCATTTGCAACACTGATGGACCTAGAAGGTATTATGCTCAGGGAAATAAGGCAGACACAGAGAAAGACAAATACCATATGCTTTCACTTACATGTGCAGTTTAACAAAAGAGAATAAATACAACAAAACAGAAACAAACACACAGGTATGGAGAATGAGCTGACAGTTGCCAACCGGGAGGGGATGAAGGGAGGGGGTGAAAACAGTCACAGATACATCCCTTAGTCTTGCATGTTGTTACCCAGAATTCTTCTTTACTAGGGAGAACTTCAGGAAGAGTGCCTACTTTGGGGACGGGAGGTGTCCAAGTGAAACAAAGCCCAGACTCCTCTATCACGTCACAAACCTACCCTGAACACGTCTGTCTCTGACCTCAGTATCTTCCCTTCTTCCTCACCCCCCTGGTTCCCAGTCAGGACTTACCAGGTTGTGAATTGCTCTGTCTTGCAGGGAAAGGTTCCAATGAGTAGAGCTCCTCCCAATCTGCAGACCACCTCATTCAGACAAAATCCAGAAAACAGAGAAATGCTGCTCTCCTTGGCACGTCTTCTTTCCACCAGCAGGTCCCTGACTTAATTTCCAGTACAGTGTCCTGGGAAGTACGCACGTGAGGATCTCCCACAGAAGACCAGGTGTGGAGCTGAGCTCTGGATCATGCAACCTTACCTCTCAAGTCCTCAGCCAAAGTGTCTGCACTGGAATCAGGCGGCGCTTCTATCTGCGAGGAGGTCCCACAGCAGAGTGAGAGAGGTCTCAGGAAGCAAAGCGTGTCTGTTCCCGATAGGTAGGCTTGTTCAGCCCAACTGGCTGAACGAGTCTGATGTTGGATTCATTCACAAATGATTCACAAAGAAGTTGGAACAAATTCTTTGGCTTCTTTCCAAACTGACTCCCTGACACCTGTGGTTTATAACCAGGGAGGCTACGCACCCTCTGGTCAGGGAGAAGAGGTTGAAACCGTTTGCTCTCAAGTGTTCTCGGTCAGAGGAGGTAAGGTCTTGCGCTTCACCAGCTGGCTGTACACTGCTCAAACTGTTTCAGCTTGCTTAATTTTCTTGTCTCAGTTTCCCCTTTTCACTTGCCCAAGAATTTCTCTAGCTTCTTACTGTCCCGTCTCCATATGCATCTTACATGCTCTGCATGTAAAATGTAACCACGGATCAGCAAGAAAGATGGAAATAAGCTTCAGGACAAAGGACAGGTACACGCAGGACCCTGGGGAGACCCTCTGTACAATGGGAATTAATGTTCTTCACGCTTCCTGTGGGCGAAGTACCGTGCAGTCCCATCTGATAACAATCTTTAATGATAAAGAAAAGGGATATATTTTAAAAGGCCAGGACAACTTGCCCCAAACCCATTCTCTTTCCAAACACTTCTGAAATCTCTCCAGTAGCCTTATGAAATTAAGGGAAACGCCCACTAGAGAGAAAATTGCAGGAGCAGAAGGGGGAGACTCACCTGCAAGTCTTTTGTGATTTCCCAGAACTGATGCTCAGAATAGCAGCTGACAGTATTGCACAATGCATTTCTCTTTTTTTTTTCCTTTCAGTGTTCATGAAAGTCGCCACACCTGCCCTTCTCCCCCAGGGGACCCTGAGATCACCACTCCATTTGGGACTGAGCTCACAGCCGTGCTTTCTATGTACCACCAGATAAGTGGTTTCCCCAAACTGAATTTACTTTCTGTGCTTTGCATTGTAAAAACAGTCCATTTGAAATATAAAATTGTGTGTATGCATATACCACTCTGCCACAGGCCAGCATTCCGAGAGCCCTGCCCTGTTCCTGGACATTCTAGGAGCCAAGGAAAAGTAACTCAGCTGTCTAGGCTGAGGTATGTGGGCCCAGGGAAGCCTGAGGGTCTTATTGATTAGGATGAGTTTAGAACAAAGATCATCATAAACAGCTGATAGCTTTACTTTCCCATCTCCTTGTTCTCCACCCCAAAGTACCCTACAACATCCCAGGGGAGGGATATAAATGGGGAAATAAATCTGGAAAAGCCAATGTGTAGCAGCCTGTGCTGAGAACAGCCTCTTGATAGGGAAGAGCGATCTTGGAAAAGCATGAGGAGAAACTCCATAGTCCTTCCTGAAATGCGCAAACAGCACCCATGCCTTCCCTCCTAGGACCTCGCAGAGGGGGTCTTCTAGTTTTGCACGTCACAGGGAAGCTCTCTATCCCTTGCACTAGAGGCCAAGAGTAGGTGATGTTGATTTAAGATTTCAAGGGAGGCTGAGGTGGGGGTGGCCATTGCCTAGCACACGTTCTTTTCTTGAAAATTCCCCACTAGTTATCTTTTTAGGGTAGGTCTGTTTTCACGGAGGCCCCTTCTCTCAGGCCCCTCCCTGCCCCTCCTTGCCTCACTCCTGCTTCTCTGTCTCCCCTTCCTCCTGACACACACACACAGCAACGTCCTGATTCATTCTGAGTCAGAGACTTAGGAAGTCATGACACAGTGCTCTTTCGTAGCTGTTGGCCCTGCAGGCAGCACAGACCAGGATCTGATCCAACACCTTGCCCCATGCACCCTCAACTCCTGCTTCCTAATTGCTCTTCCTGGAATCTTCCCCCCAAAATAACTAGAGTTCGCTCCCCCCTTGTTTCAGTTTAATTCTTAATTCAAAAGTCACTTCTCAGTGAGGCCTTCATTGTCAAATTGCAACCAATCTCCAGAACTTGCTCATCTTGCAAAACTGAAACTCTCTGCCCATTGAACACCCCCTCATTCTCCCTCCACGTCCCCACCCCTGGCAACCACCATTCTACTTTCTGTTTCTAGGAGTTTGAGTCCTCGAGATGCCTCATACATGGTTTTCCTTTCTGTGACACACATGTTCACCTCACATCGTGCCCTCAAGGTTTACCCACGTTGTAGCATGTGTCAGAATTCCCTCTTTTTAAGGCTGAATAAAATTCCGTTGTACGGATGGACCACATTTTGTGTATCCATTCTTTTGGTAATGAACATTTGGGTTGCTTCCATCTTTTGGTTCTTGTGCACAATGCTGCTATGAACGTGGGTGTATGGATATCTCTTTAAGACTCTGCTATCAGTTTACATAGACATCCATAGGTGGAATTGCTGGATCTTATGGTAACTCTATGTTTGTGTTTAAGGAATCGTCATCCTGTTTTCCATAGCTGCTGCATCATTTTATGTTTCCACCGCCAGCACTGAGTGCAAAGAGTTCCAATTTCTCCACATCCTCACCAACACCTGTTATTTTCTAGACTTTAATTTTTCTGTAGCAACCATCTGAATGTATGAGATGGTATCCTATTATGGTTTGGATTTGCATTTCCCTAATGGATGTGAAGATATTTTTCATGTGTGTGTTGTCCATTTGTATACCTTTTGGGGGGGGGGGTGGATGTCTATTCAAGTTCTTTGCCCATTTTTAATGGATTTATTTATTATTGGACTTTAAGTGGGTTTTTTGTTTCATGTATATTTCATTGATTGAAGCATTTTAAAGTATAGATATCATGACATTTTACCCCCAAATACTCCAGCAGACATCCCTTTAAAAACATTTCCTCATAATCACTATATGTCTTTTTCTATTTACCAAAATTGAGAATCTAACTCCCAGTTGATAATCATTTCACCCATTAACTTTCAACATACCCTAACCTTCCTTCCTGCCCCCCATTGGTGATGGCTTTGAGGCCCCCCGAGCCTTCCGAGCAGCCTGGGTTTGGGGCTGGGGAGACACACAGGCTTTCCATTTACTCCTCAGATGGGGCCGGGGCTCAGTGGGGCCCAAAATCGAGGTGAGTAGCTGATGAGATCTGGAACTCACCTTCTGGGAAAGTTCTCTCTTCCTCTCCTCTGCGACGTGAAGAATGTCCGGGTGGGAAGAAGCCCAGCCAGGTCAGCAGAGCCGGGGTTACCCCTGCTGGAGCCTCTCACGTCCCCGCCCCTGCGGCCCCGCCTTCCCCCTTGCTGCTCCAGGCCAGGGGTGGCAGCGTTTCTCACGGGGACCTGGGCACCCCTTGCACCGGGATCAGCTGGGATGTCTGTGGAACCCTAGGACCCCTGCCCTCGCTCCGTCTTGTCTGAGTCAGATTCCCTGAAGGGGAACCTAGAAACTGTACCTTACTATTTTACAGAGAAAATAGGGAAATAGTTTCCCTATAGAGAAATATTTTATCTCAGTTTCACAGAGAAAATGACACCTAACATATAAATTTAATGTGTATAGTGTGAGGATCTGATATATGTATATATTACAAAACGATTACCACAGGTTAGTTAACACCCCCATCACCTCACATAATTACCATTTATTCTTTAAGATTTTATTTATTTATTTTTAGGGAGGAAGAGAAAGAGAAACATCAATGTGCGGTTGCTGGGGGCCGTGGCCTGCAACCCAGGCATGTGCCCTGACTGGGAATCGAACCTGCGACACTTTGGTTTGCAGCCCGAGCTCAATCCACTAAGCTACACCAGCCAGGGCTTAATTACCATTTATTCTGTGAGGATAACATTGGACATCTATATCCGTAACACCTTCAAGTCCACAACACGGCATGGTTAATACTGTCGCCTAGATGGCATCCGATGCCCCAGCATTGACAACTGGAGGTATGGACCCTTTTGGCCAACATCTCCCCATTTCCTGCACTCCCCGGCTCCTGGCAGCCACCATTCTACTCTGTTCCACGAGTTTGGCATTTTATCTTCTGCACGAGCTTATACAGTATCTGTCTGTTGACTTGGTTCACTCAGCACCACGCCCTTGAGTCCCACGCATGCTGTGAACAAGGCGTGGGAGCTGCAGACAGCACCTGGGGAGGCCACGGCACTCCTGGGCTGTAACACTGGAGAATGGCTTCACCAGGGACGGAAACTGGCTTCCCTCCTGCTGCCCTCCTGCTCGCTCTCCCGCAGGGCCCCTCACGAGCCCACTCCCCCATCCTGCCCGCTGCCTGGCCGATTTCACGTGCACGTAGAGACACGTTTGAAGTTCAGAAATATGCCTACAATCAGATTTAAGTGTTTGACAGGGGACAGGGGCCCAGGAAAGGAGAAGGCACGGACATAGTCCCATAAAAGGACACCCCGTAGGTCATGGTGTCGCAGCATCCGGGGAGAGAGGAGCTCCAAGGAGGTACTGGAAAGGTCTTGGTGTTCCGTGTCAATATACTGGAGACCGTATGTCAACACTCTTGCTAGGTGGCTGTGTCTGCCGGAACACCCCATTGTACACCCAGAAACCACTGCTCTCCTCCACAAAGGCCCCATCTGGCACTACCTTTAGTCCTGGGACACGTCTACGTGGGTCCTGGGGAGGTACTCATGAAACATTAATGACATAAAGATGCACCGCGAACACGCTCCTGCAACCGTGTATCACCACACTGGAGCTCAACTTTTAAAAGAACAGTGTGGCCAGTTTTAGTTGCAAGTATGCAGGGAATTGCCTGCCAATTTAGAAAACGGGGACTACCACAGAGCAAGTTACAGCAAGTTTCACTCCTCAGTTGTAGGGCCTCTAGCGGGGGAGTTAAAGCTGTGCAGCTTTGCCCCACGGCCTCCCGGATTGGGGACTGCACCGGGGTAAAAGGGAAATGACACACGTTTACCAACCACACCTGCCATAGGCTACGTAGCTGTTTTGCTAGTCAGATGTCGAGATGGACAGCGGGCACTTGTGATACTCACGGGACATTACTGCCACCGAGGAGAGGTAGGCAATTTGAGTGAGGGCACGCGAGAGTCATCCACAGTCCCACTGAGCTAACCCCAAGTTCACCGGCTCTGGAGTCTGCGTCTGAACTGTTCACACTGCTGCTGCTTCCCATTCGCTGACAGCATACAGGGTGGGCAAATTAAGTTTACAATTGTGAGCACGGAAAACACAGTTTATGCTGGTATTATTTATTAGTCGTTGTATTATTTTCCATATGAACTGTAAACCCACTTCTGCCCCACCCTGTATGTAAGACGTGTACTTAGATCATGAAGGGCAAAGTTAGACATCGTCTGTCCCAAGCCTGTTGTTCTCCCGATGAGGAACATACTTTCAAGGAACTGATGTGGCGTGAGTGTCCGGAGTCCTCACCGCGGAGCTGTGCCCTTCTGTGGTCACACCGTACAGTCCGCTTTGCAGTCCACTCTGTAGGGATTACTTTATGAGCATTTACGGAAGGGCAGTCACTGCACTCTCACAGGGAACCAGATGGCACTTCCACTCAACAGACCTGAGTTCACC